CCAATATCTGTTCTTAAAGTCTGTTGGCAGTGGTTGCTTCATCCTCCTCTGCCTGTATTTCTTGGACAGTTCATCTGAAGCCTTGGTTGGATTCAGGCTCAGTTCTTGCAGTGTATTTGTGTCTGATGATGTGTAAACTGTGGCAGGCTGGGTTACTTCCTGCTGCATCACAGTGGGAGGCTTCCATGTCAATTTCATCTGGTTGCTGGACAATGGAACCTGTAGCACCCTCCCTTCAGTGTTAATTATCTTTGTTTTGTAGAAGAGGAAATAGAGGCATCAGGAGCTTAGCCAAAATGCCCAAGGTCACCTAGTGAGTTTCGCCTGAACTTGGACTCAGATCTGGGTTGCTCTGAACAGCAGGGTCTCGGCCTCTAAGCCAATGTGGGTGGTGGTTATCAGATGAGTCATACTGGTGGGCTGTATGAGGAACCTCTTAACACTCACTTTGCTGGTAGTCACCAACTTTGAACAGTAGAAACAAGCAGACCTGTTGAATACAGGAGGAAGATCTGAAATAGAGGTGAGGGGGCTGATCCCCAGGTCCTGTCCCTCAAAGATTCCCTACCTGAGCCCACCTCTGCAAGACCTCCATGTGGGCTTCCTCGGGGAGGAAGTGCCCTTTCTCATACTCCCCAAATACAGTTGGTGTGCTCACTGGGGCCTGCATACCCCAAGCTGGTGTTGGCAGACTTGGCATTTATTCACAAAGGGGAGGTAGGGGCAGACTGACCTGCCAAGGCTAAGCTCACCCTTCCTTGGATGTAACATCCCATCACTTTCCTCAAAATTCTGCCCTTGGAAGTCAGACAACCTGGTGTGTATCCTGCCTATACCTTGGACGGCCAGAGCTCTGGTTCTAATTGTAAGGTGGACACCAGAGTAGCCTCTCCGTGGGCTTGGTGAGATGGTGCATGTTGGCCCATGTCAGTAATGGTGCTGGGTGTTGTTGGAAGGACTGTGAAGAAGCCTGGATCACTCTTTGGTCCCCACTCCACCCTTTCTGCCCACAGAGTAGGCAGTCACTGGCACCTTTTGTCACAGATGCCAAGAAGAAGAAGAGAAGGAAGCTGAAACCAAAGAAACCAGAACCCATCCTTCTGCGGGACCAGTCGACCTCCCCGTGCCTGCCACCAACCCTGCCACCACCTCTACCGCTGCCACCATCACCACCTACCACCACCAAGGCCTCCCTGCTGGCCCCATCACTCCCTGTCTACACCATGCCCAGGGTCTTTGGCCCCTTCCCTCCGCTGCCCAGCAACTCGGTCAGTGGGGATGTCCCTTGCTCCAAACAGTCCTGAGAGGAGCAGCTTTGGCCCCCATGCTCAGAACAGTCCCAGTGGCTCTCCTGGGCTATGGCTCTCAGATCCCTGCTTACGCAGCAAACCCTCTTTGTAGACAGTCTTGGGTAGAAAGACAATGAATAAACAGACAAAAGGAGTTTGGGGTAGGGGCAGTGGTGTGTACCTGTAGTCCAGCTACTGAGGAGGGTGAAGCAGGAGCAGTTCAAGGCTGTAGTGAGCTGTGATTGTACCTTTGTACTCCAGCCTGGCTGGGAAGTAGAATGAGAACTTGTCTCTTAAACAACAATAATAATGAAGTGGGCAGTTTGCTATGATGGACGGGTTTCATGAGAGTCAAAAGCATGGAGCCTACATTCTTGACCTCAATGAATAAGGCACCCTTGAGGTGCTAGGGCCCCCAAAGAACAATAGGAAAACCAGGAGTGGGCCTTTTCCCACGTCCCTCAGAGAGCCACCCCAGTGCCTGTCCCTGTGGATGCGTTCCCCATGCTGCCCTCTACCTGTATCTTCAGACTCCCGCCATGGGGGTCCCCCTCTCCTCAGGTCCCCATCCCACCTCCTGTACCCCTCACACCTAGCTCAAGGTGGGCATGGGACAGGCCTCATGTACCTGTCAGATGAGTGAAAGACATGTAGTTCTCATGGTTGTAGAAGGCATTTTTCTTCACTGTGAGGTCCCCAAACTTGTCCTGAGATTTCCTTTATTTCCTACAGATGGAGAATTTGGATACTTCAGGGTCTGAAGTGAAATTAAACTGGAATGGACTGTCATCAAACCCCAAGAGGTGGAAAGAATTTACTCTGGGCTCAAGGGAAGTGGAGAAGGAGCATATTGGGGAGCTTTCTGTGCGCCAGACGCGGTCACCCCGTCTTCCCCACCTCTTAGTTGATCCTCAGAGCCGTCCTTAGTGGTGGTTCTCCTCACTTTACAGGGGAGGAGTCTGGGCTCAGAGGTGTGCTCTGTGTGTGGGAGTCCCTGTGCTATGTCACAGAACTGCACAGGAAACTATGAAGGGGCCCAAGACTAATGTCCTGTCTCTGCCCTGTCTTGCAGATGCATGGTTGACCTGACGCCCTTGGTCCTCAACCCTGGAGGCTTCCATTTCTCGTACTTGGCTGGAAACAGTGCACACAAACTCCCTGGTTTCCCCTGGTAAGTATGCCTCTGTGCCTCCTTGGGGCCATCCTGGCTGTGCCCTGGCCCCAGGTTCCCTGCACCCTCCCCTGCCTCTGACAGGCATCATGGTGATGTGCACAGGGCTGGAAAAATCTTCATTATAATATCTTCTTCCACTTCCTGGAATGGAAGGGTGTAGGGAGGGGTGCAGAGAAGGTGTCAGTCTTTTCCTAGGATTCGTAACAGTGAGAATTTGGAAACAGACCACATAAAGGCCCAACAGAAAGGGAATGATAGCACCAACTGTGGACCTGGCCTGTGACTGAGATAATGATATGTGTGTTTTGCAAAGCAGAGGTTTGCCAAATGTGGAGTATTTTTATAAATTTACCTGCCTTTTCCACTAACATTAAGTATATTTCCCCATCATTGAATGATTCCAACCTGTGATTTAAACTGGCTGCTTCACTGCATTGGATGAGTTTTTATTTATTTATTTATTTATTTTTTAGAGACAGAGTCTCATTTTATTGCCCTAGGTAGAGTGCTGTGGCATCACAGTTCACAGCAACCTCCAACTCCTGGGCTTAGGTGATTCTCTTGCCTCAGCCTTCTGAGTAGCTGGGATGACAGGTGCCCGCCACAATG